GGTAAGGAATTTAAGCCCTAGAACCGATTACTGTATTTGCGGACTAATACTACAGCTGGTGGACCGCCAAATGCAAGCGAAAACATATTCAGGTCGGCTCATAAGAAACTCGTTAATCGAGGGATTGCTCGTTAACCGAAGTTAAGAATCTTATGGAAGGTAACTCGTTAACCGAAATCTCGTTAACCGAGGCGCTCGTTAACCGAGGGACCACTGTAGTGCAAAGCACACCTGTAATTTCATTACCTGGTTTAAAGGGCCCAGGCAGCCGGGCGTTGCCATGCATGCTGCGTCGTTCAGAGGTGCCAGCATATCTACTACCACTTCCACTTTCTTATGTTATGCCCTTATAACTTTAAATAACTGTGTAGTTCTAATTCTACACAATGTAGTATGTGCACTGGAGGCACAAAGCTGAGTGTCAGCTGCTGTCCTAAAAGTTTTCGCTGGAAGATTTGGCATCACTGCAATGCAGAAGGTTAGGCCAGTGCAACACTCACTTCGCCACACAAACACACGTTCTGCCTTATCTCTGTGTCTGCGGCCTCCACACACTTACTTATGCACTAAACACTAATCTCACTGTTCTTATGCTATTTTCTTACATTAATATATACACTTATCACTCGATTTAACGGAATCCAATATAACAAATTCTCGATTTAGCGGAAGGTATTTTTTCCGTTATTTTTCGCTCAATTTAGTGAACTAGTTTGCTAAATGAAGATTAATTCCGTTAATTCGCTCACACCTACGGAGACACCTCAGATACAAGATACAGTAAAACCTACATCTGCCTATGGTGAATGTTTTTAATATATAAAAACGATCAATAATGATATAAAAAACACCATATAAGATGCACCGCCCATTTTTGCAGAGAGTATTTAGGGAACCGTTACTAGTAACATACTTGATAAAACCACACAGGAAAAGGGAAACACTGGAGCACCTTAGCTTTCATCTTTATTCAAGATATCTTCAGAGGCAAATGAGTGACCTTACATAATATCTGGTCAGATCAATAAGATGGGATCCACCAATCAACACACCACATCCACTGCAAGCAAAACAAGAACTTATAAAAACTGGGTGACATAACAACGGGTCAGGTCAAAAAAATGAGACCCACGAATTGTCACCCTTACATCCACCTCAAATGCTTTCAAAGCATTTTTAACCTTAGACCACTTATTATTCATTGATTAATACCACAACATCTAGAGTTTAAAGTCTTGTGTGAGATACTGAGTTGGAGGGAGATAGGGACAAGGGAGGGAGGGCGGCAGGGAGGGAGGGAGGCTGGCTGGTGTATGGCTGGCTGGTGTATCATTGATAATATAAAATATTAAACACTATAGAAAAAATATGATATATAATTTGACATCAAAATTACATGACAGGCCAAATAATAAAGCAATTTTTTCACCTAGACCTCTCCATTTAGAGGCTACACACGCCCCACACACCTCAGAAGATAACAGGAAAAGGAACACTTGAGGCCATATTTATTCAAGACATCTTCAGAAGCAACTGAATTTATAAAAGTTGTGGAAAAATAATTTCATTTATCACAATCAGTACTCAAATGTGCTAAATTAATTACTAAATTCATAATTTTGAACAACATATTTTGAGCAACATATTACTGTACTCACTTTGTATTCAAATGTACTAAACTAGAGGACTAAATTTTGTTATCTCTAGTGCAAACTAGAGGGATTTTTATACTCAAATTGATTGCTATCTTACAAGAATTCCAGAAATGCAATTTATATTCTGCTAAGTCAAGTCAGTGACATTTTATACATGAAAAACTTTTAACTCCCTTTGTTGTATAATCCTGAATCCCAGACCCCTCTGTCCTCCACTGATAACTGCGCACTTGGTAATCTCCCCGTCAGAAGGTATAAGGATTTTGGAGGGTGAAGGTGGTTTTAGGCTTATAGTTTTTATCTTATATAATGTCGCTGACATGACTTAGCAGAATACAACTTGCATTGCTTGAATTCTTGCAAGATAGCGATTAATTGAGTACAGTTGTACCCCACTTAACGCGGTCAATTGAACCCAGAGGGTCCCGCGTTAAGTGAAAACCGCGTTAAGTGAATAACAGAACATATGGGATTAATTCCAATAGAACCCAGCCCGACCCCCAAACTCCACTTTTTGACGACAAATAACTATACATCTCATACTATAGTTTGCTCAAGAGATAAAAATTTTAGTCCTTTAACTTAGTACTGTACATTTGAGTACAAAGTGAGTACAGTAATATGTTCCTCAAAATTATGGGTTTTTCACAGGGAAAAGTCTGTATAACTAACCTCAGTGGTCAGGATATTATGGCATTGAATGTTACAGAGTATTTCAAATACAGTATAGTCTGCATTTCCGCGGTCAATTGAACCAGTGGAGGCCCGCGTAAAACGAGAAACGCGTAAATGAAATAACAGAACATATGGGATTAATTGAAATAGAGACTGGGTCGACCCCCAAACTCCACTTTTTCCGACACAATACGTACGTTGTAGTAAAAATTACATCTTAATTTTATGATGGTATGCACACACAATTAATAATTAAGAGAAATATCAATAATATTAGGTTTTTTAACACTTACGTTAGTAGAAAAGATGGGTCGGCACACGTGGATGGCGGCTGGTTCTGAGGCAGAGGGCAGATTAGTTGCCCTCCGGGGAATCACTTTCACTTTCACTACTCGCAGAGGTTTGCAGGGCCTCCCTGACAAACCCCTCAAAGTCCATATCCTCACTGTCACCATCACTATCACTGACTTGGGCTGGCTGTGGTTGTGGTGGTGTGCGGGCGAGGAAGTCCTCAATACTACGTTGACGACTAGCATTGATGTTGTCAAGATAGATCTGGATATACGGCTCCATAACTTACGACAGAAGGTTATTAGACACTTCATACCGATGCTTGTCTGGGTCGTTGTCAAGGATGAGCTTAATTTTCTCCCCCAACTCGATGATTTCCTTCACATTATCATGGCTTGGTCCAGGTAATTCAAGGTTTTTCTCGGGTGGTGGGGGTCCCGCAGAAGCCATTGTGAGGGGAATAGCGGGCACAAGAGAGAACTGTATACGCGGACTGAGAACAATGAGACAGGCCCGGCTAGGTCAGCGACTTTTACCCTCTGTTGGCAGGGCACGTCATGTTACATTAGACCAATTACAGCTAGCGACGGAGGGAATGCGTGGGTGGTAAGGATGCATGGCCCAATCACAGTCCGATACGTCATATGGCGTCAGCGATAACGTAAGAGCGGCCTAATGCGCACCACTCACCTCGCCGCTTCCCGCGTATGGTCAAGAATGGACCACGCGGGTAAAAAATGGCGCGGCTGTCTGGACCTCTCCAGCCGCTCGCCGCGTAAATGACCAAATTTACCGCGTAATTGAAACATTTTCATTCTGTTAAGGCACCACGTAAATGACCAAACGCATAAACAAAAACTGCGTAAATCCAAACTATACTGTATCTACACTCTTAGTTTAGTTTTGTACATAGAGACTGGTGTTGGAAGAGGGATGGTCTTAGGGTGAGAAACTGACTTCTCACCCCCCACCTTTGCCTCAGTCATTCTTACTGTAACTCGACAAAATATTGTTTATTTGTTGTTTGCTAAATAGTAAAGGTATGTTACTGTAATAATTTGAGCTTCTTAATGCCAGTACCCTTCATTTACAGTAACATACTTATTTTTACCTTATTATTTGTCTTGCCACTTAATTTTTAAGCAAATTACTGATTATATATTATATTTTTTCTATAGTAGTATTTAATATTTTATATTATCAATGATAAAAAATACACCATAAGAGGCTGATCATGCGAGACTATATAATAATGAATGTTAGAGGGTGTGTGTTGGTGGTGTTCGGAGTGTGTGTATGTGATGTTGAGGTTTGTTCCTCACACACACACATACACACATACGGGAATTAAGATAACATGCATCCAGTGAGGGGTCTTGTTGTGTGACTGCCTGGAGGCGATATAATCATCAGCTTTTGAGGAGCGCTTGGCAACGTGATGCATGTTACCATTCCTTTCCATTCCATCTCTCTGATCACCCACACCTTTCTGCTTTCTCACTCCATATTTTAAAATGTTATGTAACTTTGCTCATTTATACTTGTACAGCTCCTCCCCGACTTACGACGGGGTTAGGGACCCAAATCCAGGTCGTAAGTCGAAAATGCTTAAATAATACATAGAAAATCTAAAATGGGTGTCTCTTTTTCTTCTCATCACCACAAAACTCTCACTTTTAAGCTTGCCAGCTATTTTAAAGTGAATTACAAACGAAAATTTTGTCTGTGTACTGACGTTGGGACTCGAAAATGCATAATTTGGCAAAATTTTGGTTCGACTGAGGCAGGTCGTAAGTGCGGGTGGTCGTAAGTCGAGCAGGTCGTAAGTCGGGGAGGAGCTGTACTTATCACAATGTCCCTAAAAATACTTTAGCTTTTGTGTTTATTCAAGTTATCTTCAGGTAATGAGACCCACTAATCCCCTATCCCACAAAAGGGTGACCTGACATTCCATCCCTATAAACTTATTTGTTTCTGAAGATGTCTTGAATAAAGACAAAAGCTAAGGTGCTCCAGGGTATACTTAGTTGACTGAGAGCTCGATTTAGCAGAAATATCGAGTTAACGAACAGGTGGCTTGAATTAGTTCGTTAAATCGAGAAAATACTGGACATAACTGCTTTAACGGTATTCTTGGCTGATTATATGCTGGTACAGTACAGGTAATGTACAGTATTGCACAACACAGATCTTATATGAAAACAGCATTGGGCAGGTGAACAAACTTGTACAATGGCAGCAAGAGTGATGACATAGATTATAATGGGAATTCTTATGAACTTTGGAATGATTTATTTTCTATATAACTGTCTTTGTGAATCACACTTGGAGTGAAAGTGATATATTCTTGTTTATTAAATTATATAATTTTTCCTTCAGATTGGTTTCCTCTTGGGGAGCTGTGGTGTATCAGTGGCTCTTACTTCAGAGGCTTGTTTCAAGGGCATTCCAAAGACTAGTGCAGGGGAAGTAGTATCATTTAAGGGCTGGCCAAAACTCTCCTGGTTCATCACTGACCATCTACCAAAACCTCCAAAAGATTGGCAGACACCTCCAAGACACTCGGATGATACTGCTGCATATATTGAGGTGAGTCCTTTGATGTGCAATATGTTAATATGTACAGAAACAGGTGTCTGGAAAACCTTCTTAAAGTGTATTGAAGAACTGAACTGATGGAATATTAATACTTTCCACCAAATTATGGATGATCATTATTAACTCTCCTGTTTTTTGACCTGTGTATTGGATACTGCGGGATGTGTATAATTCTTTCAATTTTATTTGGTTAGTACAGTACCATAATTTTTCTTATCCTATAGAAGTGTATTGTGAGATAAAATATGAATGGATAAAATATGAATACCTTTCAATGTAAGCAATATATTACATACAGTATTTTAAAGCCATTTATATGGGGGGAGGAAACTTTCGAGGTCAGAAGGCCAGATTAAAATTATAAGAGTTCTTCGGTGACTACCTATAATTTTCATTGTTAACCACCAAAGGGCTTAGACAATTATTATCATCCTATAAGAAACATCCTGTGTGGGCTGAGCCGACTATGATCACCCCTTCATAAATCAACCTAGATTTGTTCTGGAGTGTTTGAGAGCAATCTACCTCTTAATATTGGAGTGTTTGGCATCTCTCTAGGCAGCAGGGAGAAGAATGCTTATGTTGCCAGTGCATGTTACAAAAAAAAACATGAGAGTTGTGGTATATATATCTTGATAAAATCACACAGGAAAAAGGGAAACAATGGAGCACGAAAGCTAAGGTGCTCCGTTGTTTCCCTTTTTCCTGTGTGATTTTATCAAGATTTATCTTATCCATGTTTCCATTGTGGATATATATATATATATATATATATATATATATATATATATATATATATATATATATATATATATATATATATATATACAGTAGTACCCCGATTTACGCGGTCAATTGAACCCACAGGGTACCGCGTTAAGTGAAATCCGCGTAAATGGAACAACAGAACATATGGGATTAATTCCAATAGAGACTGGCCCGACCCCCAAACTCCACTTTTTGACGACACACAACTATGTTGTAGTAAAAATTTTATCTTAACTTTATGATGGTATGCACAAACAAGTAATATAGAAGAGGTTAGGTTAGGAAAAATAAAGGTTAAGTTAGGAAAAATAAAGGTTAAGTTAGGAAAAATAAAGGTTAGGTTAGGAAAACTAAAAGTTATGTGTAACACTTACGTTAGAAGAAGAGATGGGTCGGCATACGGGGATGGAGGCTGGTTCCGAGGCAGAGGGCAGATTACTGGCCCTCAGGTGAATCACCATTACTAGGTGCATCACCATCACTATCAGTTACAGTTGTCAGGGCTTCCCTGACAAATCCCTCAAAGTCACCTTCACTGTCACTATCACTGGCTCTGGCTGGCTGTGGATGCACGTATACACGGTGTGGCCTTGAGGGATGAAACTGCCGCGGCTAGGTCAAGCGTCGTCTTTCCTCCCTCCCTCCCTCCCCGGGTGGACACGTCATATTACTTTAAACCAATTACAGCTAGCAGCAGAGGGGGGTAGGGATGCATGGCCAATCACAGTCCGATACGTCATATGACGTCAGTGATAACGCAACAAAGACACACACTGCGCAACCTTACCGCGCGGCTTGCCCAGGCGGAGGCGGAGGAGGGAGCAGGCGGGTGGGGCTAATCTAAAAATAGCGTCGAGCCGGACACTCTGCGCGTATATGGGTAGATGAACCGCGTAAAGTGAAAGTTTGGTTCTGGCGAGGCACCGCGTATATGAGAAATCGCGTAAAGTGAAACAGCGTAAAGCGGGGTACAACTGTATATATATATATATATATATAATCAATCTAATTCACCAGCCAGAATCGAACCGACCTACTACCGGGTGGGACTAGGAACGCAACGACCAACCCACAGGAGGTCGTTGATTATATGTTCAAAGTCCTCGTGTTATATGGACTAGAAAGGAATGCGTGGGTGGTAAGGATGCGTGGCCCAATCACAGTCCGATACGTCATGTGACGTCAGCGATAACGTAAGAGCGGCCTAATGCGCACCACACACCGCGCCGCTTCCCGCGTAAATGACCAAATTTACCGAGTAATTAAAGCATTTGCATTCTGGCAAGGCACCGCGTTTATGACCAAACGCGTAAATGACCAAACGCGTAAACAATAACCGCGTAAATGCAGACTATACTGTATTATTTATTTTTAAACCTTTAAACTTAGTCCTTTTCCGCAAACGTCTCTCGAGAAGGTGGGAGGGAGGGGTGACATGCTTGACAGTTGGCGCCTGTGATGTGAAGTATTTAATTGTTAATTTCTGTCCTTTAAATTGAGTTTTTGTTTTTTGCTTATAAAATTTAATAGAAGTGACCGGGCTGAATTTAATTTGCATTGCTGGAATTCTTATAAGGTGGTGATTAATTTGAATGGAAACAGAGAAGAGATCACTGAATTGGCTGTTACCTCCTCAGCTTATCATCTGATGTTCAAAACAAAATGTGATTTTCGTAAGGATTTCGTTAATCATTTTTTTTTTTCGTTAACCGAATTGAAGATTCTTATGGAAGGTAATTCGTTAACCGAAATTTCATTAACCGAGGCCTTCGTTAACTAAGGGACCACTGTAATTAGTGGCTGCTTAGCTGCACAGTGGCCCCCAGAAGAGTCTGGACAATCAGCAAGTGTGGACCCCCTTTCCTCCCAAATTGTTGGACTTGAAAGTTTTACTGTACAGTAGAACATTGATATAACACGAGATATGTTCCAAGAGAGGTCGCTTTAAACCGAATTCGCACTAAGTCGAAGTGTTGTTTAAATGGAATAATATAGTTTGGTACTTGAGAGAAACACAAAATACTAAAAAAAAATGAGAGGCTACCCAGATGCACCATCTCCTAGAATAAACAAAACATTGTTTTTTTGTAGTATTATGTTAAAACAAACACTCGTAAATCAACACGGCTAAAATTATTGGACGTGAAATGGTCTGTTTACTAGCAGTCAACTGATGTGAAGATTGGGGGGGGGGGAGGTGAAATGTTTGACAGTTGATGCCAAGGTCTAGTGCTTATTTATTTATCTGTCCTTAAGAGTGACTTCAAGTTTTTCTCTTATAAAATGTCACTGAACTGATGTGTTCTAATCAATTTTATTGCAAGGGCTGAAATTTTTTATCTCTTGTGTAAAATATATTCAAATTATTCGCTATCTTGCAAGGAGTCTAGCAATGCAAATTATATTATCCTAACTTTAGTCTGTGATATTACATAAGATAAAAACTTAAAGCCTAATACCACCAAACCCTGGCTGGGAAGATGGGGGGGGGGGAGGGGAGGTGACATAACTGTTTAACAGTTGCTCCAAAGGTCTAGTGAAGTATTTATTTGTTTATTTATGTCCTTTAGATTGAGTTTTGGTTTTTTGTTTATAAAATGTCACAAGTGACCAGGGAGAATATAATTTACATTGCTGGAATTATTATAAGATAGTTATTAATTTGAATATAATCATGCTATAGTTAGCACTAGACAAAAATTTTAGTAATCATTTAGTACATTATTTTGAGTACATGTACAGTACAGCTTTGCTCTTTGGACAGTGTAGGTGCCCATAGAAACATTAGGCGCGAATTTTAAAATATGATGCACCAGATTGACTCGTGCAAAATAGGAAAGATTCGCTTTAAATTAAAACATTGTCCTTAATTGTGGGTGTCACTTTAAATCAATCTTAAATTGAATCGCTTTAAATCGACGTTCTACTGTACCGGTATTGAGAAATGCCATGAGCTGTAGGTTTATTTTATGAATATTTTATTAAGAGCATTTGATTTGTATGGAACAAAGATTAGGTTAAGAAAATATGGAATATTAATGTATTACTTTTCTTCAGTATTGTACAGACAAGGATGGTTCAGTAAAAGGTGTAGTCGTAACAAGATCTGCAATGTTGGCCCACTGCCGCACCCTTACTTCAGCATGTAATTACACTGAAGGAGAAGTTGCTGTTTGTGTCCTTGACTTTAAAAGAGAGGTAAGTACTAAGTTGCAATTTTATAATTTACCAAAAGAAATAATAGATCCTGTGTGTCCATTTTTGTATTCTTATTATTTTTTTTAATATTGTATTACTATATTCCTATCATCTTTCAGGTTGGTCTCTGGCACTCCATGTTGTGTTCTGTGTTCAATGGGATGCACGTCATCTTCATTCCATATTCTGTTATGAAAGTCAACCCAGCCTCTTGGATGCATATGATCACCAGATTTAAAGGTATTTGAAGTACAGTAGTACCAAGCATTGCTATACAGTACATTGGTTCTCCCAATAAAAAAAATAAGTTAATCCATGTAGAAATACATCAGTAAAAGGGCTGTATCTTTTGAATTCAGTTTATGTAGATAGTATGTAATCAATTACTCTTATTCTCTTTTCAGCAAGCATAGCCATAGTTAAGTCTCGTGACCTACATTGGGGTCTATTGGCTACCAAAGACCACAAGGATGTCAGTCTTCAATCACTGCGGTTACTTCTAGTAGCTGACGGGGCCAACCCTTGGTCCCTTTCTTCGTGTGATCAGTTCCTTGCTGTATTCCAAAGTAAAGGTCTTCGGCCAGATGCCATTTGTCCTTGTGCATCATCTCCAGAGGCTCTCACTGTTTCTGTTAGGAGGTAAATATGGCTGGAAATTACATTCTCTGTAATCTGAGTTTAAATTGTCTCAGTCATACATTTTATGTGTGCATGGTAAAATAAATAATAATAATAATTAACGGTTTATTGAAAGAGCACAGCAGCCAGAAGGCTGAAAATATACAGTTACATAATTGGGGAATGGGTTTCAGTTTGCAAATAATATACAACTGGGTGGAATGGGATTCACCAATCCAGAAGAGATTGCTGCCACCGAACATCAAAACTCAGTTAAGCTCACGGCAGCCCTCACGGACCACATAATAGCTCAGAACGCAACAGGGGAGGTGGATACCAGTGAAGTAAACAAGATTCGAAGGTCCATTACGACAGAATGACAGCACAGCCAAAGTGATAAGTTGCAGCAACTGTTGCTGCAAGTACCAGAGAATTTGAAAAAAAAAAGTAGCTATAGTGCAGAAGGTGGGCGCCCCGAACTGGTTAACTACGTTACTGATAAGGGCAAATGGTTTCAGTCTCAATAAACAAGAATTTACAGATGCCAATGCTCTAAGGTACGGTAGGCCAGTTGAAGGTTTGCCTTCCCAATGCGTATGTGGCTCTTCCTATGACGTCGATCACACCATGGTGTGCAAGAAAAGGAGCTTCATATGCATGAGCCATGACGAAGTAAGGGATCTCACAGCAAATATGTTGAAGGAAATCTGCCGTGATGTCAGGGTAGAACTTATCCTCCTTCCATTGGATGGTGAGAATTTCCAACATAGGACTTCAAACACATCCAACGAAGCCCGTGTTGACGTCGGTGCTCGAGGATTCTGGACGCGGGGACAGCGAGCCTTCTTTGACATCAGGATTTTCGATCCCATGGCCGCATGTCCCCGTAACCTAGCTCGCGATGTTACACACAGGAGGAACAAGAACGACATTATCAGGGTACATGAGGAGAGAATTCTGAATGTTGATCAAGACAGCTTCATTACTTTGGTGTTCACAACTGCTGGTGGGATGGGACCAAGTGCAAGATGTTTCTATGCCAGATTTGAGGAGGTGTTATCTGAACGGAAGCAGCAGCCCAGAAGTTACGTCACAGCCTGGTTGAGATGTCGACTGTTCTTCTCTCTGCTTAGGACTGCATTGCTCTGCCTCGGAAACGAGATCGGCCCCAAAACCGACAACGGTCGTAAATATTGACTATGAGGCAACAGTCACTGAATGCCGTATAAACCTGTGGCTCAACTAACTCACAAAACTAGGGTAGCTACTTTTGTAAAAGGGATATTTAATTTTAAGGTAATAAAATGGCGGTGAAGGTGTAGCTATTGGGGGACGCTGGAGGCCACGTTATAAAAAAAAGTAGTAGTAGTAGGAGTGCATAATAATAATTAATGGTTTATTGAATGGCAGATGGAAGGCTGAAAATATACAGTTGCATAATTGGGGAATGGGTCACTTGATTGACAAATAATATACAGTAATACCCCGCTTAACGGGTTTTTTTTTTACGCGTTTCTACATTTACGCGGTACCCCGCCAGAACCGGAATTCCCACTTTACGTGGTGCATCTACGCATATACGCGGGAAGCGGCGTGGGCATGGTGCGCATAAGGTCGCCCAGTCATCAAAACATTACCGAGTTCTTCACCCGCCACCCACCACAGCCGGCCCAAGTCAGTGAGAGTGATAGTGAGGATATGGACTTATATGGACTTTGAGGGGTTTGACAAAGAGGCCCTGCAAGCCTTTGTGGTGGATAGTGATACAATTGATACAAGTGCCTCGGAACCAACCCCCCATCCCCGTGTGCCCAGCCATCTTTTCTACTAATGCAAGTGTTAAAAAACCTAATATTATTGATATTTCTCTTAATTATTAATTGTGCGTGCATACCATCATAAAATTAAGAATTTATTTTTACTCCTACATAGGTATTTTGTCTGAAAAAGTGGAGTTTGGGGGTCGGCCCAGTCTCTATTTCAATTAATCCCATATGTTCTGTTGTTCACTTTACGCGGGCCTCCGTAGGTTCAATTGACCGCGTAAAACGGGGTTACACTGTACAAGTAACATAAGTGATACAAATATGATATATAATAACTAGGTGGGGAGAAAATCATACTGCAGGGCATTTCAACACAGTGACAGTGCAAAAAGATTGATTTGGAGTGAATACACTGGTTGATTATGAGTTGTTGATAAGTCTTACTTGTCTGTTCTTATAGCGATCAGTACGTGTGTGTGTGTGCGTGCGTGCATGTTTGTGGATATACTGTATCTACATAATGGATGGATTTGATACATTTGTACTTAAAATTATCACTTCTTTCCATTCAGACCAGGCCATGGAGGTGCCAATGCTGTAGGTCGTGGAGTGTTGAGTATGCAGGGTTTGAGCTATGGTGTTGTACGTGTGGACCAAGAAAATTCCCTTACCTCTCTTACACTTCAGGACTGTGGACAAGTTTTACCAGGAGGTGAGTAACAGGCCAAAATTCCTATAACAATGCTCTTTCTTATAATATAAATGAGTAAAAAAAAAGAATTTATTTATTTATTAATAATTAATTATTATTTTACTGTTTGCTGATGATATTGTTTATGGTTTTGGGAATCCAAGACACCCATATACAGGGGGTCCTTGAAATATGTCAGGGTTAGGGACCAAAGTTGTTTGAATTGAAGCAAAATTACATTTAGCAGGGAATTTTCCAATACAGTATTACCCCGCTTTACACGGTTTCACTTTCCGCGATTTCTCGATTTCTCATTTACGCGGTACCTTGCCAGAACCAAACTTTCACTTTCCGCGGTGCATCTACTCATATACACGGTGAAGTATAATTTTTTTTTTTTTTTATTTAGCTCATAAAATTCATACAAATTACCCGGCCAGAATATAATTTACATTGCTGGAATTCTTACAATATGATGATCATTTTGAATATAAACATCATGGATTTTGCATTAGACATACAAATTTTAGATCTAAAGTAATAATTTGGTTTACACAAAGTAAATATTTTATCTTTTTTGCAAAATATATGAAGTTTACATTCAAAATATTCCCTGACCTGCAAGGAATCCAGAAATGTCAATTATATTATCCTAACTTTAATCTGAGGTATTATTTATTACTAACGTTAAAATCTAGAGTTTTCACCCACACATTTATCTGGTAGGGAGGGAAGGTGGGGGGGGGAGGGTTGGGACTGACCGACCCAGCTGGCATGAGTGTGAGGAGGGGGGAGGCAAGGTGGGGTACTTTGATTGACAGATAGTGTCATGAAGAATATTTTTTTTTTATTAACTGGAGATATTTGTTTTAGCTCATAAAATTCATACAAATTACTCGACCATAATATAATTTACATTGCTGGAATTCTTACAATATGATGATCATTTTGAATATAAACATCATGGATTTTGCATTAGACATACAAATTTTAGATCTAAAGTAATAATTTGGTGTACACAAAGCAAATATTTTATCTTTTGTGCAAAATATATGAAGTTTAAATTCAAAATATTCCCTGACCTGAAAGGAATCCAGAAATGTCAATTATATTATCTTAACTTTAGTCTGAGGTATTATTTATTACTAAACGTTAAAATCTAGTGTTTCACCCAATCATTTCTCAGAGAGGTAGGGGCCAGTGAGCTGGGAAGAGGGAGGGGGGGGTGGATTTGAGTCCATTATTTGAATGGACATTAACCTGGCGACTGTATTTCTCTTAGATATTAATTGTGTGAGCATACCATCATAAAATTTAGATGTTATTTTTACTACAACATAGGTATTGTGTCGGAAAAAGTGGAGTTTGGGGGTCGGGCCAGTCTCTATTGGAATTAATCCCATATGTTCTGTTGTTCATTTTACGCGGTTTTCACTTTCCGCGGTACCCTGTGGGTTCAATTGACCGCGTAAATCAGGGTACTACTGTACTGAACAGTTTTTCAACTCATATTTTTGGGTCTATTTAGGGGATTTTTAGGAGTGTTTCTAACTTTACACGGTTTTTGGCTTTATGTGAGGTCCCAGGAACATAACCCCATGTAATTTGTGAATCTACTGTAAATAAATTTATCGCTATATACAGTATTGGAAAAATTTCGATAATTTTGGTAGTCTTTATATTTGAAATATTTCCTGCTCATTTCCCTCGCAATAAAAAAAATATCGCTATATATAGGAAAAGGTCGATAATTTTGGTAGCCACGATATAGGATATAAAAAATTCGTTGTATAACGTTGCTATATATCCGAACCCTACTGTACTGGTAATATAATGTATGGTGTGCTAAATATGCTAAGTGCTCTAATTACAATTTTGGTTACCTTTTATTTTACAGTACAGTATACTGTACAGTACATTTTTGTGCTCATTTTCAGCAAATGTAGGATGAAAAATATGTGTGTGGAGATTGATAATTGGAGGTGTTCTTTTCTTTTTCCTCAGCTATGATCATTGTCGTAAAGTTAGAAGGTCAACCTTTTCTTTGTCGAACGGATGAGGTTGGGGAAATCTGTGTGGCAGGTGGAGCAGTTGGTGATCAGTTTTGGGGCCTTCAGGGTATGACCAACACTACTTTCAAAGTCCAGCCATTGCTTCCAGACAACACACCAATGTCAGACAATTCTTCCTTTGTCAGGACAGGACTTCTTGGATTCTTGGGACCAGTAAGTGTGAACTAATAGTGACTTTTATATATTAAGTATGAAATAGAGAAACTAGACAGATTATGTGATTCATTTCAGTACAGTTCAGTACGCATACAGGTATTATTATTATTATTATTATTATTATTATTATTATTATTATTATTATTATTATTATTATTATTATTATTATTATTATTATTTAGATGAATACTTTTTTAAATGTGTTAAATGGTTTCTTTATCTGTGACCCTTACTTCATTCATAGCTAAATTGTGTGGACTATAATCACCAAGCCTAATTAGAAACTACGGTATGATTTAACTTAATTCAGCGTGTGTAGTAAAACAAAGTGAGTAATGGCTTCCTTTTTATTTAAAGGTTTTATAACCCTTCATTTTGCTCTCTAGGTGACTATCGAGTGGGACTCTCCTCTTCATACATTCTTTTCAACTTAAAACACAATTCTTCTCAACTGATCCTAGTCCCTATTCATTATTTAGGTACAATATTTTTCCTGTATGTTCAGCCTCTCCCCTCTACTACCTTCATATACATTATCTCAAATGAACTTCACTAATCTAGAATTCATTATACAGTATACTGTGCAGTACTCCATATATCAATACTGTATTGTACAGTACTGTACTTTAACCCATGCACCTGTATACAGGCTCCTTCACCCCCCACATATCATTTTCACATCTTCAGTCTTCATCCTGTCAATTCTTTCATATCTTAAGTTATTCGCTTGAGTGCTAATTTTTTACTCATCCATACCTAAGAAGCTTATAGCAGTTTATCTATACAAGAAGACTGGAACAATCATTACTTCATGCAGACTTCATTCTTGCCTTACATTTAATACCTTCCTCCTTACTAAGGTCTGCAATGCATGTTCAGCTGATTTTCTTTGCATTGGTAATTTATATTGAAAAAAAAAAATTAGCCAGAAAAATACAGATACGGAGTGGTCAACATTGATATGGCTGAGCCGATTGAGAGCTGGAATTTATTCACTTGTTTTACTACTTCCTCATTTAACTTATGGTTAACCAGAGATTCCTTAACCCGTAAAAAAATTTGCCTGCATTTGATTTACAGTCAGTTCTCCTACAACGCGATAGTTGTGTTCTTGTAAAACCTCGCGTTCTAGAAATTCGCGCAATAGAAATAACAGGGCTTATAGAGAAAATAGGGTTAGGTGCAGATTACTGGAAATAAAAAAAATTTAGTAGTTAGCCTAACACAAAGGATAGCACAGTCTAAATATATGTTACATTTATATCTAATAATGAAATCATACAGTAAATGTAACACTTTACCTTGAAAACTATGAATATAACCTGATGGGGGAGAAGGATGATCTTGAGGTTGAGGAGTCATGCAGACAGGAGTTGAGAGTTGTCATCTCCTCAAGTTCCTTTGGCCGTGATCTCACACTTTTGCTAGCACTCAAGCTTTTTCCAGTAATACAGCTTGCTTTAATTTTTCCTGCATTGTCTCTAATGGTGCGTAAAGTAGACTCCTTTATTCCCGTTGCACGCACAATATCACATGTTCTTTCCTTACGTTCAAAACGCTTGATAACATTAAGCTTCTCTTCATGTGTTATAGCCTTTCTTTTACAATCACCACTGGGAATGTGATCACCAGAACGCTTCTTGGAGATATTCTTCTTTTCCATATTCACAGTTAATACCACAAAATTGGAGAAATAGTAAGCAAAAATCACTAGGACAATTCAAAACAACCCACGTGTTTCAACTGATCGTGTGATGGAAACAGAGAGCACGGGTGTAAAAGGCTATTTTTTTCTCTTTTATTTAAAATTTTACAATTTACATACTGTATACAGTGACCCCTCCGTTAACGAACTCAATCCGTTCCAGAAGGTCGTTCGTTAACCGAAACCATTGTTTCAATGGGTTTTTGGGTAATTGGTTCCAACTCACCGAAAATTTCCTAAATTCAACATAAATGGTAGAAAAGTTCACTTCCTTTGAGGTGTGTATGTAGAAGGCTCCTGGATGATGATGATGATGATGGGATTTAGAATGGGGGTGGAGGAGAAGGAAGAAGAGAAGGCATTGGGGTGGAAGAGAAGTCACCCCATGGCGCCATTTCACCCATAAAATTTTAGCTCTCTTGGTGTAATTCTAGATTATTTTCTTTAAATCAACACTGCACTGCATTATATATTGTCAATATGTAAAATATATTTCAAAATGACCAATAATTTGCTTGGAAACACAGAAAAAAAGCATTTAGTTGAAGAGAGTCTCAAGCAAGATGTTACCTCCAGTGAAAACAGAGAGAGACTAACTCCTGTTTGCTGTGTTAAGAGGCTGGATGCCGCGCATTAAACTAGTCACTTTACCTTCAATTATGTTCAATAATTGTTAAAATGACTAAAAAATTGAATATTAAACTTTTAAAATTATTGAATAGTATAAACTTCTTGATATTTACTAAAATAGTAAGGAATTTAAGCCCTAGAACCGATTAATGTATTGGCGGACTGATACTAAAGCTGGTTGCCCGGTCAGTGCAAGCGAAAACATGTTGAGGTTGGTTCGTAAGAACTTCGTTAACCGAATTTTTTTTCGTTAACCGAATTGAAGATCCTTATGGAAGGCAGTTTGTTAATCGAAATTACGTTAACCGAGGTGTTCGTTAAACGAGGGGTCACTGTACAGTATACATAAATATTACATAAATTATTTCTGCAATTCTTTATGTTTAATGTTAACTTTAGTGATAATAAGGATAAGAATACAGTGATCATGTAAAATGCTATTCGTCCGCACTGCAAAACATCATTTTTATTTTTTTTTTCGACAGTATTTATGGGAACAGCTAAATTTGCAAAAAAAGGATGAAATTTAGAGTCCCTATCAAATAACACTTCACAAACAAAACACATGAATCAATTGAACATGTGATGTCGAACTTGAACTGTAAACACTGCATAACCCCGCGCCAAGCGACAGTACACTTAAAACGTTCGAGTGGAATTGCGTTACAGCCAACACGCGTTTGCGTTTTACAAATATCGTTCTTCTATTCAACAATCGTGTTGTAGCCAATTCGCGTTGACAAAACACGCGTTGTAGCAGAACTGACTGTACTGAAAACATCCTCTTTTTCTGGATATTTTACAACATATATTGTATACAGGCAGTCCCTAAGTTATGAAACGTCCGACTTATGAACATCCACCAATACGAACGAGGTTAAACATGAAATTTACAGTACAGTTCGGGTATTATATGTACCTGATGACTTATTTTTTAGTTTCATTTAATGTATTTTGGCATTCTGTTTCTTCTTTCGTCTTAAATTAAGTGATTTTAGATGTACATTGGGACTTAGGCTGTGATATAGTGCGTTTTAGGACAACTGCCCCCATGGGACAACTGCCCCCTGGACAGTGAGTAACTGGCACAAAACATGGAACTAACCTAAATTTAACTAAACCTAACCTTACCTAATCCTAACTTTAACCTAACCTAACTTAACCTAACTTTAACTTAACCTAACCTAATCTAACGTAACCTAACCGATTTTTAAATATTAAATATGACTGATCCACAATTCTTTCACTTAACAAAAAAATTTATCAATGTTTTTCTAATTACAGATTTGTAGTTTTACAAAAAATTATGAGTTATGCATTTTGTGTATATAATTATTACTACAAATAAAACATGAAAATAAAGCATTAATTTCCTAGTGTTATTTTCTCCTCTCTTCAGTTAGTTCCATGTTTTACGCCAGCTATACACTGGCAATGGGGGGCAATTGTCCAGTGGCAGCAGTGGGGGGGGGGGCGCTGTTGACCTGATACCGATATACAGTTGTACCCCACTTAACGCGGTCAATTGAACCCAGAGGGTCCCGCGTTAAGTGAAAACCGCGTTAAGTGAATAACAGAACATATGGGATTAATTCCAATAGAACCCAGCCCGACCCCCAAACTCCACTTTTTGACGACAAATAACTATGTTGTAGTAAAAATAACATCTTAATTTTATGATGGTACATGCACACAATTAATACTTAAGAGAAATAGAGAAATACAGTCGCCAAGTTAATGTCCATTCAAATAATGGACTCAACTCCCTCCCCCTCTTCTCACACTACACTCACTGGCTCTTCCCTCAAACCATGTCTAATTCATATTTTCACTGTTTTATATCATTTTTTTCTAATTACAGATAGTTTTAATAAAAAGACCATTTTGTGTATAATAATTATTACAACAAATTGAAAATATTAAAGTGTCAGTTATTATTTTTTATATTTGGCATGGAGGGGTCAAAGGCCGCACCGCAGAGCGCGTTAAGCGGGGTAATACTGTAGTGGGATTTTAAAGATTGTTTTGTAAGTACGGTATGCACGTAGCATGTGTTTCAGTTTGCGTATATTTTCGACTTTACATCCCCAGGAATGGAACTCATTCATAACCCGACTTGACTTTGCAGAATATAACTTGCAATGCTGGAATTCTTGTAAGATGTTGATTAATTTGAGTATAAACATCCCATAGTTTGCTCTAGACATAAAAGTTTAACTTAGTACGTACATTTGAGAACAGGTTGTGATAATTTATGTGTTGTGGTTGCAGTTGTGAAACTTTGTGACATCACTAGTGTATAATGCGTCTCTGTATGCTCCGGTTTATTCACTGATCAGTTGTCTAAGTGCAAAAGTAGCCAAATTGAGCCATCTTGTATCAATTGATTTTAAAGTTGAAATTATAAAGTCAAATGTTATAAGACAATGGTTTAGTTGTGCTGTTAATGTGTGTTGTATAAGTGTCTTGGCATGTCACCTCACTCCTCCCACCCACGCACTGGACATGGGAGAATGCGGCTAAACATGGTGCAATCTTTCATAATGCTGAGAACCTTTGTCCCCAGGCCCGGAGCAGAAAGGTTTAGAGTGATTTTCTCGCCATTTTCTCAGATTTTCCGGTACTTGCTTTATATCATTATTTATTGTTCTTATACATTCAC